ACGCACTGTACCCAAAACACATATTTATACAGTACGAGGAAAATTAGTTAATTCATTAGGGCCTTTGCTCAACTAATAAGGTAATAAAACTCAATTAATCATGTAAACGCACAGAGCACATGTCTTCCCTGGACATGTGTTCGTCATACATATTGAAGTTGACTCCCCGAGGGAACAACATTCTCAACATTCCCAGGGCCGTTCAACTCGTCGCAGGCGTCATCCACGTTGGTCACGTCGTCGATCACGTCGTCGATCACGTCCGTTGCCACCCCATCAAAGTAAATGAAAAGTCTTGTGCAATATCGTTGTATCAAAGGTCTAACGTTAATCGGATGATGGCGCAGTACATCTACAGCTGTACATAGTGTGGAAGAATCCGTTTTCGTGGGCCACAGTCTTGGCTTGTTATGGTTTCTGGTGTCATTCGATATGACAAACACTGTAAATGAGTCGGTGCAGACGATCATATCATCATACCAACCAATACATCGACACTACGGGGTTCCTTAAGCGTCTTGTGGTTGGTAAGACTTACTCGTAATCGTCATAAGACTGATGGCGAGCATAGGTCTCAGCCATCGCAGGGTCGGCATGGGGGATGGCTCCTTCCTTCGATTGAGCTGCCCATTCAGTTCCATGTCCCGCGGGAGGTCTGTGAACTCGGCCAAGAACTATGCGGCACTCGCCACTCTCCAGAGTTAGCGGAACCCCACGAAGAACTGGATGCGCTATACATCTTGACTTGTGCGCTGTCGTGACTGCCAGTGATGATGTGGCGACTTGCGACATGGCAGTGATGGGACTGATGCAGTGGGCGTTGTTCAAGCTGCACACTGCTTGGCCTAGAATTGGGGGGTAAGACGTGTCGGGTTGTTTGTGGGGCGTGCACTCGGCGTCGTCACGACGTCCTCCTCGCTCATTTTCGGCGTCATGGGAATTGCATACGGCACGGCATAGCAGTCTCCAGGGGCGCTCCACCTCTGCAAGTTGGTTATTCGGTCCACAGCTTTCTCAGCAGTCGGCTAGTTCACCACTTGGCCACCACCATCACGCCCCACGGGACCAAGTACAAGAGCGCCGGCTGGCCCGATCGCATGAGGATCAAGCCCACGTTGGCCAGCAGCTGCCACACGACATACCCGACGCGCCCGTCAAACGAGCCGGCGCGAAGGATTTCCCCAGACAGGTGCTCCAGTGGAATCTACTAAGTCGGATAAGAATTACTCAATCTAGACACAATTTCCATCGCAATCACACGTTCCAAAGACTAGAGCCACCTTGTTGTCCAAGCCAGACGTGGCCAGAGTCGCCGGCGGGATGTACACGACGCTCAAGATGTCGTCCGTGTGACCCTTGGCCGTGTCGGAGGCGGCGATGACCCACATTGGCAGCGGCTCGTCGTTGTCGTCGTTCGAGTCGAGCCAAATGTAAATCTTCCTCCGATCCCACCCCACCGAGCACACGAGAACCGCTAGCAAATGAACTCGCCCATGTCCAAAATGCACTTGTCCCTTCGCCCTGGTCGCCCCACGGATGGTGTGACGACGTCGTCGGGGGGTCCTGGGGGATGCGCCGTCACGGTGTCGCTTGTCCTGGTGCGGGTGGGGCTGAGTAGGGGGGGTACCGAAAACAGAGAGACCCGGCTTGTCGGGTTGTTTGTGGGGCGTGCACTCGGCGTCGTCACGACGTCTTCCTCGCTCATTTCCGGCGTCATGGGAATTGCATACGGCACGGCATAGCAGTCTCCAGGGGCGCTCCACCTCTGCAAGTTGGTTATTCGGTCCACAGCTTTCTCAGCAGTCGGCTAGTTCATCACTTGGCCACCACCATCACGCCCCACGGGACCAAGTACAAGAGCGCCGGCTGGCCCGATCGCATGAGGATCAAGCCCACGTTGGCCAGCAGCTGCCACACGACATACCCGACGCGCCCGTCAAACGAGCCGGCGCGAAGGATTTCCCCAGACAGGTGCTCCAGTGGAATCTACTAAGTCGGATAAGAATTACTCAATCTAGACACAATTTCCATCGCAATCACACGTTCCAAAGACTAGAGCCACCTTGTTGTCCAAGCCAGACGTGGCCAGAGTCGCCGGCGGGATGTACACGACGCTCAAGATGTCGTCCGTGTGACCCTTGGCCGTGTCGGAGGCGGCGATGACCCACATTGGCAGCGGCTCGTCGTTGTCGTCGTTCGAGTCGAGCCAAATGTAAATCTTCCTCCGATCCCACCCCACCGAGCACACGAGAACCGCTAGCAAATGAACTCGCCCATGTCCAAAATGCACTTGTCCCTTCGCCCTGGTCGCCCCACGGATGGTGTGACGACGTCGTCGGGGGGTCCTGGGGGATGCGCCGTCACGGTGTCGCTTGTCCTGGTGCGGGTGGGGCTGAGTAGGGGGGGTACCGAAAACAGAGAGACCCGGCTTGTCGGGTTGTTTGTGGGGCGTGCACTCGGCGTCGTCACGACGTCTTCCTCGCTCATTTCCGGCGTCATGGGAATTGCATACGGCACGGCATAGCAGTCTCCAGGGGCGCTCCACCTCTGCAAGTTGGTTATTCGGTCCACAGCTTTCTCAGCAGTCGGCTAGTTCACCACTTGGCCACCACCATCACGCCCCACGGGACCAAGTACAAGAGCGCCGGCTGGCCCGATCGCATGAGGATCAAGCCCACGTTGGCCAGCAGCAGCCACACGACATACCCGACGCGCCCGTCAAACGAGCCGGAGCGAAGGATGCTGACGACGTTTCCGCGGGTGGCATAGTCGGATCAGGTGCAAAACACGACGAGGAGCTCGGGGAGAACGATATATCCGAGGCCGAGCATGGCTTCCCCGCCGAGCCAGCTGGTGAGTTTCGGCAGCCGCAGCAGGATCGGATATCTCCTCCTTGACGCACTTGGCTCCATTGTCGTTGGAGAGTAGTATGAGGACGGCGCCTCCGAGTCGTCCTGCTTGCCGTAGTAGTGTTCGCTCACCATCTCTCGCTTCGTTCTGGTCGTCGAGGGGGGCAATTGCACATTCACGGAAAAGGCGGCCTAACAGATCGGCGCGGCGGCGGTCATCATTGCGGACACTATCGATGTGATCTACAGCAAAACTGTCAAGGGATACATGTACGACAAGGGCGGCGCGTTCGACCAAGACTCTACCGTCCTCACTTCCGTCGCGAATTCTCCATGGTCGGGCCTGGACAACGCAGGTATACGGCATGTGGGACGTCGCCGACTACTTGGGGTACGCCGTGAATGCCAACCAAGTGACCATCCATCCCCGTCGTTCGTTCGTATCGGATGCTTCCACGCTCAGGTCTTCCTCCGTTGCGTGACCACACTCTGCATGCCACCGCATCCATCTCTCATCCATGGAATGGTCACTCCTTCCTGTATGTGATCCTCTTCAAGCGCCACGTGCCTCGCGTAGACATGGCCCAAGTGCTGAAGTGCTGATCTGGCCACCATCGTCCCCGCAGGGTACTACGGCGCCACGTTAAACAACCCAAGCGCCACCACGCCACGTCGTAGTCTGGCCGCGCCAGGAGCAGATGGAGAACCCAGCGCTGGAGATGCGGCGGCGGTCCTCGTGTTCAGGTCGGGTTTCCTCTTGCTACTGTTGTGCGTGAACGAGATGACCGTGCTCTTTTGCTTTGGCTCGAGCAGCGTCGTGGGCACGATCCTCTTGTCGCCGCTGCTGCGTCGCATATCCGCCTTCCGCGGCCAGCCTGCGCCGCCGACTACACATACCTGGGTCCAATCCACATTGCGATGTCGGACGTATTGTCGGTCGGGTTGTCGTTGGGGCTGGGGCTGTTTTGAGTGTTTACTCGCCACAAAGCCTGCTCGTTCGTTCCCCAAGGCGTGTTTGCGATCTGTCTGAGCATCCTGTTCATCCAGACCATCTGCCCAACATCAAAGTACCCGCGATCTTGCTACTGCTCGTATTGTGTACGACATCTTTTTTGTGTTCTTGTCACCCTACATCGTCGGCAAGTCCGTCATGATCGTCGCGGCCCAAGGTCGAATGAGCACGTATGCAAACTTTAGCCAGGGGAAAGACTGACCAGGTTCTGCTAAAGCGCTTGATTTCTTGACCAATTCCGACGGTTGGTATGTTCTTGATCAAAGGTCGCCGCAGGATTCAGCGCACACATACCCAACCTGTCCCTGCAAAGCCATGTCCTCGTGGGGTAAGTCGCCTCCGGATGACAGTGCAGCCCGACGGCGTTTGCCGAGGACGCTGAAGTTGCTACCCATGACGTTCTTGTCCTTTGTGCGGAGCAGACAATGTTCGATTTGACCAGCCCCGTTCCTGCTTTGTTTGCCGAGGACGCTGCAGTCGTCTTGTTGATCGCGGGTGGCAGCGTTCCGTCTAGGTCACCCACAGCCACCTCCTCGGCAATGCCGTGGATGTTCTTGTCCAAGTGCTTCTGTCATGGTTCGCCAACCGTTTCTAATGTGAGCACTACGTACATGGCCGCATAATTGCTCGTCTTGTGCCCGAACTGTCCCAAACGGTTCAATGCAGAAATGAGAGTCCGCGCCAGACTTATGAGCTTGGAGTTCGTCGTGACGGCTGACTCCAGCATTGGCGACTTCCTTCCGAGTCCACAAACGTTCCCTCGGCAGTGTCCTCTTTATCATCCCATGTATGGAGCTCTAGCTATGACATGTTGGTACCATATGCACAGCCTTGATGTCCATTTTGCAGGCACATGTACGGGATGTTCTCGGGGGTGGTCCTACCTCATTCGCATTATCAACAACCTTCATGAGCGTATGAGATACATGAAGCACTGAACTGTGAAAAGTGCGAGTTTCTCTATACCTCATGTTGTCGCGCAACAAACTCCCCCAGCTTGAGCGTTTTCTGCCTGACCTGCTGGGCGAACCCATCCCACGCGAGGATCTCGCCCTTGGACGATATGACGACGTCGGCGATGTCAGACATGGCGCGCACGCCATGCTTGTTGACGTCTTCCGGATCACCAAGTTGGCTTCGTCTCCCGTGTTTCATCAACGAACGATGTCGTGACGATCTTGCCCACGGTCGCAGCAGCGGCCACTTGTGACAACAAGTCCACCGCGTTGTGGTGGTGTGCGGACCGGCAGATCCACACCTCGCCTGGCTGCTTGGGCATCGTGTCCTCCGTGAGGTGGAAGACTCCATGTGCAGCGTGCGGCTCAGGGCTGCTGCAATCGACCGACTGGGGACGAAGTGCTTGTGGTGCTGTCCCGCGTGCGCGTTGGCTTGCGGCGCCGACGCGCTGTACGTGACCGGCTTACCCAGGTGCCAGTACTTGTAACATACCCAACTGCACATAATGTCCAACAGACTCATTTGGCCATTCCCACTCGACACCAACACAAGCACGTCCATCTGTGTCGTGTTCTAGGCATATTCGATGTCATTGGGGGTTGTTATGAATCTCGTGATGGTACCTCGAAAATGTCAGGTTGAGGATGCGACTGCCGCCCACGCGCGCCACTTGCAGCCGCGTTTAAAAGTACATGTCCTTGTCCTTCAGCGTCACACTCAGCCCTCACGACGGATTTACCCCGCCGAGTCGCCTAAACATGTCCTAATTCGGAGACTGAGTCTGATATTCATGTACCTGTATGACGTTATTCCCGCACCGATCGCACGCCATGACGACCACCGATTCTCCAGGTAAGTGCACCAGTGGAATCTACTAAGTCGGATAAGAATTACTCAATCTAGACACAATTTCCATCGCAATCACACGTT